CGAACAACTTCGTGCAATTAGAGGAGAAGAGAAGAAATGGCATGGAAGGATGGGCAGGAGGTGGATTAAAAACTAAAAAAAAAACCACAGAGAAAGATCTTCTTCATCAGAAAGAGAAGCAACCTCTGAATGCAGCAGCAGCTGAAAGATTCAAGGACATTAGCACCTCCTAATGGAGGCAAGAACATAGCTACAGGCACTGTCAAAATTCATAGCCACATCTTCATCAAACTCTTCTGTTAAAAGAAGGAAAGAATTAGCCAGTTTTCTCTGTGTCTGAAAGACATAGTGTGTGTAGTCTGGATACCAACAAATCACATCAAAGGGTCTGACTGCATTGCCTTACTCATGATAGCTGGGGTACTTAGGTTGTGTAGCTCATTTTTAAAGAGCTGACCAGCTTCTCTTAGCAGCATTTATTTCCTGTATAAAAAGGTTAGTGAAAAGACACGTGGGACAGACTTTTTTCACAATACAGCATTTTTCTTCATACGCGTGTGAATACAGACATGTGTGCACAGCACACATCCTAAACTGGAAAATGGGAAAATATCCTTTTTTTCCTTGTGAAATGTCAAGCAGCTTTGCCACTGATATCTGTTCTTGGCAGCATTAAGGGAGCATTTTTGTTTTCCATGGAGACAAAACCAAACAGCTCCCATTATTCTTGCTGTGAAAAAAAAACCCTACTTTTTTCATCACTCCTCTCTGTCAATTTTTTATTCTTATGTGGATTACAATTGTTTCCAAAGCAAATTGTTAGGGTTAATTACAACAGTATTGCTAACAGTGAACTAGGACTTAAAGTATTTAATTATGATTCAGAAAAACAGATTTCATGCCTGGTTCCCACATAAATTTTCCAAGTGGTGAAACAAATAATTCATTCAGCATGTTTCTGAAGACAGACTAATGCTGTAAGGCTGAACAGGTACTAACACAGAGGAGCTCTAATGCAACTGCTTACAGCACCTTTGCTTCCTCCCTTATCTGTCACCTGTGCTGCTAAACACTTTATCTGGTGTATGAGGATATTAAATGCCCTCAAAATGGACTGAGTAGTAAGTGGCATAGCACCTGTTCATCTCTCACTTCCCATCACAGGTCTGTGCTACAAATAATTATAATGTAATCCATCTGAATGCCCTGGGAAAAAAAATAAATCAGAATACAGAGCAGAAATGTGTGTAAAAAGTACATTAACAAGATAGCAGCTAGGAGAGACAAGTTGTGCTAGACACAACACTAAGAAGCAGTCACGTTTTTTAAGAAAAGCAACCAAACAACAACAGAAACACAGAAATAAACCCCCCAACACACAACTGGTTTCTCCTATTAAAAATAAGCAAACACACAAACCACAAAAAAAAAAGGCGAGTACACATTTTTATTACACATTTACAAGATGAGAGGGCCAAGCAAACCCTATAGCATTTTTATTATACTCAGAGGAAAGCTGTTGTTGGTTCAGCATAAATATTGCTCAGCTGTGTGAGGAGGGAAGAAAACTAAAGCAGTGCACAAACATTTCTGGAGCATTGCTTACACCAACAGTACTGAGGAGCAGAAACAGGCATCTTGACAATAGCAGCAACAAGGAGAAGGGGACAGATATCCACACAAAACAGGCAGCAGCAAAGGGAGGTCACAGTCAAAGCTTTCATGAACATTTACTGCAGACCTATGGATGAAAAACAAAATAAGATTTGTCTACAACAGAAATCGGATTCAATTAATCACTTGATGAATGCAGAAGATAAAACACACTATTTGTAGTATGGAGCCAATAAAGGACTTGTCCTGCCTGAACTGGAGTCAGCAGGAGCTTCTACTTGGTTCTCTGCCCTCTCATTGCAAGTACACTCCCACATTCAGACACTTCAGTGCAGAGCTGATGTGCTTCCAGCTTCCTGAGTGATGCTACCATCACATTCATTTAGTAATATCTAACCAAAACATGTCCTACCAACTTCCCTGGGGAAATTCAGTGCTATCCTGCTGGATGAAACCACATCCGCTGTTGTAATTCACTTACGTCCCTTCTAGCTGAGGCTGTGGCAAGGAAACGTGTCTGTGTTTCAGGCCATGAGCCTGTAGCAAGTTAGGAACAGTCAAGAATACTGAAGGCTATGGAGTGGTGCACACCCTGTGATCACAATACATTTGATTTCACTCTTCCCACCATTCTCTTATGAAAAACTAATCCCTGTTAAAGGCCTTGGGACTTCTTCTCAAGGTCCTTGGTGGTTCAGTGTGTCTGAAGGAATAAGAAAGGCAATTATTGGCCACAGCTTCTTGCTGTGCCTTCAGGAACACCTTCTGCCCTAAGGATCTCACTTGGTGCTAGCAACAGTGCTTAGGGAGCTGGGTATCCCTTTAAAAAAAAAAAAATCTGCTAGGAGCTAAAGAACATCCCAGTCCCACCATTTACTGCCCTGGATTTCCCTTCACTGGCAGAAATTGCTAGAACCATGAATTTAAAAACAAAACCAAGGACAGTCTTTGGAGTGTTCACTCACACCTCCCTGTGGCACGCAAAGAACTCAGGGGCACTCAGAGGGAGGGGATAAAGCCAGACACCACAGAAGGTAATCATGACATTTAACATTCAGTCAAATATCAAAATGCTACAGTGGATAAAGTATGGGAGGGAAGGAAAGAAAACTGGCAGCTGAAACTCTTAAAGACTGCCTATTTTCTACCGTGTTTCCACACTAGAAACAACAGATACCACTGATATATTGATATCACTGATACCATTTGGGAAATGCCCTCCACCCTAACAAATTTACCCCATGAAGGACTTTCATGACCTAATGAAGCTAAGAGAATTTTGCCACTGGTTTGAATATGTAGGGAGGAAACAGGATGGGTTTTCTTCTTACTAACAGAAACAAATAATAAAATAAAATCACCAGTGTATTTCAAACTGAGTGCAAAGTGTAAGAAAATGCAATGAAAAAAAAAATCCTACCTTCACATGGTGCTTTGAGTTTTAAAGTCACTGTGGCTCTTGTGTTGTGCATTTCGTTGAGCGCTACACACGTGAAATTTGCCTGCAGATCCTCCTTTTTTATTTCACTGATATGCAAAGTGGCCTCTCTGTAGTATTCTTGCTCACGTCCTTCAAAACTAATGGAGAGAGAAAGTGCTGGTACTGCTCGCTTTCATGGCTAGGCATAAAGAGCCATTGCACAGGAAAAAAAAATAGTATTCTCTTTTATATGTACTTACAAATAATTTTTTTCATGAAATCTTGAAGAATTTAATTCTTTCACTGGGATGTTATCCACATCCCATGTGACAACAGCTATTGCCTGTTTCTTAATCCCCAGGCGGGCCCGACACTTCATAGACAAAGCAGCACCTAAGCAAGATGCAGAGAGATGGAAACATTCCTTGATGAAAGGGAAGTATAATTTTATTTTCCCTATAACATCTTTTCCTACAAATCTTCATACCACCCGTGAGTTTTGTTTGAACAATTTTGACATATTTTTCTGAACTACTGCTGACAAAATGTTGCCTAGAAGAGACTTGAAAAGAAACAGTAAACTGAGATTTTTACAAATTATCTAATACAACACCAAGGATTACGAAAGGAATTATTTATATTTGTTATGATGAAGGCAATGTAGACTTTATTTGTCATGCTTAACTACTAAGGAATAGGGAAAGTACACTCTGGTTTACACACCAATGTATATGGAAATAATGCAATTAATTTTCAGTATATATTATTTTGCTTAAGTCTTGTGTGCAGTCTTGTTCTGGCTATTTGTCAGGATGGACAAGAATGAAGTAAACTGGTCCAAGCAAAACTAAACCAGGAAATTACTTATTAAATATTTGTCATTAGGAAATATTTATTCTAAAGTAAGGATCATCATGTCACTGGAAGAAGGTATAATTAAAAACATTTAAAATTATTTCCATGTAAATCTGCATCTAAGCAGGGCTTAGATAAGATTAACAACTCCTATGACTTACATCCTGAACTGGAATTAGGAAGCATGGAGAAATCTGTTCAGTTTTGCAAACAGGAGACAATGGAATCAGTACAGTAAATGGTTTTAAAATATAAAGCAAATATGCTCCATGCAAGAAGTGCCAGATTTATTGTCCCAGAGGGGTGGGCAGAGCCCACAGAGCACTAGAGACTGACCATCTTAGAGAAGGGTGATCCTAGAGCTAAGATCATCTATCTGAGTGACAAAGCAGCTGGGGGAAAGAGGAAAAAAGAAGGGGCATGCAAGCCAACATGTCAAGTGTCTGAGCCACAGTGCATGGCACCTCAGACAGGGCCCTGTGACCCTGCAGCACCTGCCACCAGAGCAGCCTTGCTGCAAGTCAGAAACAGGGGAGTGGTAATTGTGATCCTGTCTCCTGGTGGCCCAGATGCACCCCAGCTGCCCTGGGAGACAGGCATCCTGGGCTACTTACTTATGGTTCAGATGGGCTCAGTAGGTTTCTGGAGAAGTACACCTTTCTCTACTGACTATACAAAATCCCCAGATGGCTCTCACTCCTACCAGAAGAACCTTGCTCTGATGCTGCAAGTTATGCAGGGTGAGTCTGTATCACTGAGAACATCTGTAGTCCTAATTGAGAGTGAGCCAGGGAGCAAGATCTGCACTGCAGGCTCTCCAGCCTGCCCGTTCTAACTTCACTCCTTGGGCCTGTCTTTCAGCCCTCCCCATATCTTCCAACCAGACAGGTCTGCTCAACGTTAAACAACATGGACATGAGCCTGGCAGTGCTCCTCAGCCTTGGGGCCAGCCACCATTCCCTTGCTCTCCTTCATTCATCAACAGGGGTGCAGCCACTGTCTCCCCACAGGGACTGCAAATAACGGGCTACTGCAACTAGAGATGCTCCTTATCTTTCCCTCTAAGAGGCACCATCAAGCAGTGTTGAGGGATTTAGCTAAATCCCTCTTTGAAGTGGATAGAAGCTGTCACCTCCTCAGCTGTGATGTAAGACTAGAATTACACCAAGTCAACTATATCTCAGAGAGGGCAGAATTATTTTTTTTTTTTAAATTTCCTTAAGTTGCTGCTTAATACCAAAATAACCCATCAGTTATATTTAACTTCACACCACTGTGCCTGAGGTGAATTAAATCTGCTAAACGTGGTGCAAAACTGTAATAAAAAAATTCCATCATTAAATCATCTTGAAGATCTCCATCTTCACTAGGCTATCACGAAATATTAACTTAAAAATAATTTAAAGTCTGCACTTACCAAGCTCCACTTCTATTGCATCTTTATCCTTTGGAAATAAAATTTGAGGAGGTAGAGGTGAGTGTTTTGCTTTAGAAATTAAGAAGGGAAAGAAAGCACATATTAGAAAGTTGGAAAAATGCATTTTGTGAGATAATTATTGTAATCTATACAGTTAATATTTTAAGATCCCAAGGCATAATTGCAAACTAACACTACAACAGTGTTTCATATGTCTGATGGGATCATCTGGTTTTATCCCTATGGTCAAATATTCCTAGGGAATGTGTACATGCTAATAGTTGAAGCACTTTCCATTTATTTAATTTTTATCTTTGTACATAAAGAGCAAAGAGAAGATTTAGTTTCTTAGGTACAGTTTTAGGTGCTGAGTGGGGAAAAAAAAAGCAGCTATACATTTGTGCTTTTTTCTCAGTTGCCTGGTGGATTTCTTTTAGCGCTAAAGAATTTCCTTCCAACATTTGATAAATAATTCATATCCATGATCTCAAAGAGCTATTATCTACTTGTATGCAGTACCTGAACTGGGGACCCCCTTGCCCACAGCTCCCTGCCCACGTTCCCCTCTCTGTCCCCCATCTCTGCAGCCTGGCACCCAAGCACGTCTGGCTCCCAGGACTCCCTCTATGCTGTCTGCCCAGCTCTGATGCACACAACTGCTTCCCACTGCAGCAGTCTGCCAAGACATTCAGCATCCCTTATCTTTACCTTCTAGAAGGAATGATACTTTTATTTTAACACATTTATTTTCTGTTCCTGCTAATAATTGTTATGGTCAGGTCGAAACTACATCCAGCCACTTGGCTTGAATTATATTTGTATTTTTTTTTTTCCCTTGATGCGTTTCTCTTCTTTCCTTGCCCTTTATACAGTTTCATATTTCCCACTCCAAATACATTGTTTGCTGTCCTTTCCCTCGTTAAGCTTTTCCATCTAAAGGCATCTCTGTGAAACCCATAACCATATTTCCCTAAAAACTCTGCAGGACTCATTTAACCCCTTGCTTCCCAGGCTGCCAGAAAAGCGATTCTCTTTACCCATCCTGACTGTTTCTAATTTTCATTAGCTGGATTTGGTGAAAAAAGAAGTCAGGAGAAAGTCAGTAATTTGCTAGCTAGTTGACTATGCTCAGTTCTTAGCTGGCAGCTTCAGAGGCAGAAGGTCCTCTGAGTCAGTGTGGATCTGCAAGGCAACAGGAATGTACATCTGAAGCCAGTAGTTTCAAAACATAACAGCTCCACTCACCAGCATACTCATTTTAAGGGCTGAGAAAAACTCAAAGAAGTTGTCATTAAATACTTTGAATTTAGTTAAAACTGGAGCAGACATGACAGACCCAGCTTAGATTTTACATTATGTTGTAATCTTGTTTTTCTGCAATGATTTCTAAAGATCAGATTAACTTCAAAAAGTAATCTGCCTGGATGTAAGAAAGGCTTTTGTATGTTTGGATGCCATTGTGCCAAATAAAACCTAGAAATTTTCATTACAATCCAGACAACAATATTCTTGACCAGTTAGAGAAGTTTTGATGAAAGTACATTCAAAGAAAAATTGTTTGGCAGAGAAGTGTCATGTAGACCATCAGGGTACCACAGAGAAGAGGGGAAGGAAAGGCACAATGCCTAAGCTACTGTACTAGGTCTTGGCTCAAATCTGTCTTCTCTCCAGCCCAGAATAATCAGAACAAACTCCACTACTGAGAGCTGGACATGGCAGCAAAAACTGAAATCAAGCCTTCTATGCTCCAAATCTGCATTCTACCCACAAGCTGAATGCCTCCCCACAGCAAAAAGATCTGATGTTAGTCTGCAAAAAAACAATATCTGTTTTTGAAAAACAAAACAACCTACAAAAAACCCCAAACTAAACCAAGTAAACAAAAAATTAGACAAATCACCAAAACAACCAACAAACCCCATAAACTGAACCCAACCCCCCATCACTCCCGCTCTAAAAAGTCTTTCTGAATAGTTTTCTACTGCTCTAATTATAGAACTGCAGACACATTTTGAAGTTTTGCAAGTAGATGTAATCTAGAACTGCTGACTCCTGGGTGTTCTTCTCCTGACCACCATGCAAATACAAACCCTGCCTGAGAAGCCTGCATCCTAGAGGCACTCCAAAGTCTATACATCTCAGCCAGGCTGGCTGCATTCAGGATAACAAAGACACAGAAATCACTGAGCTCCACGCATTTTCTGTCTTTATATATTGCTCATTTTGTCTCATTTAAGATAAATCTAAAAGTTTTTCTCAGCCCTACTATCAAATAAATGCTAGATAATCAAGATAGACCAGAAAGTATTGAGTTGTAGGCCATCAACACATCAGTGATCCCCAGATGACCCTCTAACAAAAGAAAGCAGAGCTTTGTGGCATCCCACTGAGGAGACCCTTCGTTTCAGAAATAAGTGGTACCAGACAGCTCTCCCAAACAAAATATCTAACCAGAGTCTTCAGAGACTTTTAGCAAAAAGCTGGATGTGAGCAGGTCTGAATTTACCCCCATCTTGCTCCATTTGCATCCCTGCCTACAAAATTCACCTAAAAAAAGCTGATCTAAAGTGTCATTAAGAAGACGAAACAAACCAACAGAAATTATTTTTCTTTTCTATATACAAAAGGAGCTTTGCTTTAAGTAGGCATCAGTCTTTTTCATCTTAGCAAGCTACAAAATGACTGTCTTACCCTTACTTATGAAAATCCTTGTTGCTGATACGTTAAACACATTTCCTTTATGAGTGTAGATAAACTGACAAGTGTAATAACCATCATCCTCCTTCCTTGGGTTGTTAATAAAAATATATTTTTCTCCCTTGAAATATCTCTGCCCCTGAAGAATTTTGCAGTCCTGGAAAAGAAAACTTTCTTTATTTGGCTGCAGACAGCTTCTCATGGTAATCTCTTCTACAGCTGGCACTGTCAAGGGGTTTATTTACCTTGTACCACTGGACAATGGTAGCATTCTTATAATTGTCAATTGTAGGACAAACAATTTTTCCTCTTCCAGTGTCATTTGGGTAACGAATCTGACTTGGGAAACACACTCCTTGCTTGTATGGATGCACCTGCACACTCATGTTGAATGGCTTTGTGCGATTATTTGAACTTTAAAAAGAGAATAAGGGTATGTCAATGACAGTATTCTTATATGGAAGATATCAAGTATTTTTAACACGTGAATCTTGTTTTATAAACATATGGATGGTTATTGTCGTTCAGTCACAGACATTTTAATGACCTGTCATAAAAATAGCAACTGCAAGACGAAAATTTACATGAATTGGTGTATACAATGTTAAAAAGGGTGGCATCATTTCCACAGATAAACATTAGAATATGTTATTAAAATGTCTACGTTTCTTTCCAGTCTTACACTTTTCACTTTTCAGTGTTGCACTTACAAATGTATAACACAAGTGTAGTTGCCAGAATCCTCTCTAGAAGTTGGCAGAAACCAAAGAAATTGGTTAAAGGAAAATATTCGTGACCCCTCTTCTTCTGCAGGAATTGTTCTGTTAGTGGCTGTGTGATACCAGGTGACTTTCACAGCTGAACTCCACCGGGGACATTTTATAACCAAAGCCTCACCTTCCATTGCATCAACTGCAAATGAACAAAAGACAAAAATCCCAGATGAATTAAACCTTAAGCCCACTGAGATCAAGGTGAACTTGTAATTCCTGGCTCAATAGGCCAGGTATGTCCCTCTACCTTCCCTGGGTTTCCAGAGATGATATATAGCAAACTTCTTCTCGCTAGACCTTTTTTTAAGAAAAATTTTGTTAACCTTGAGTTATGGAAACATCTGTTTGCCAAAACAGTAATTAATATGTGGGACTCAAACCAAACAACCAAACTCCTAGATTCAAACCAGACATACATTAAAAAAATACAAGGTTTTAACTGAAAAATAGCAATTTCTTGAAATGAGCTTCTTATGCAAATATTTGCTTGAAACAGGAATTTAAACACAAAGAAAAGTACTGGCTTTAATGCTGTACTGTAAAGTTAGCTTTCCTTACTTCAGTATAATGAATATTTATTTATACAACAGAGAAGAGCTCTTGTTCTGTCTTTTTTAATACAGAAAAAGGAAATCAATACATTTCTTTCTTTGCATGTAAGAAAAAATTAGTAGAAGTAGGAAGCCTGTAGATAAGAACATTTAAAAAAAAAAAAAAACAATCCAGAAAAGCTTTTCTTTGAAGTTCATTAAAATGTGAGGGAAATAAGAAAAAGCAAAGAAATGTAACTAACTGAAAGAAAGAATCTGATGGGAAGGTGAAAAGATTCCAGAAAGGAATAAGATACTAATAAGAAGGTTAGGAAAACAAATTACACATGCTCACACATAAGAAGAAAGAGGAACAAGATGGGAATAAGATTTTTTTTTTTTTAATGAGTATATTTCTACTTTTGAATACTGAAACTGGTCCAGATAAACTTGAATCAAGCAATTTTGACAGATATTTAAGTGCCCAGGCACCTGAATAGTGAGCTGGCTGTTGAAAACAGAAACACTAATCTGGAAGTTAAATTTCATTTTGGAGAAGAGGAAGTTGAGAAAATGAGCAAGTATGGAGACTGGACAAAAATGGAGATTGGCAGAAGAGCTACAGTAGGTAAGGGAGCATGAAAATGAGACTAGGCGACTAAATAGCTAATCAAAATACAGAATATCTATCAAAAATGACATTTTGTGGGAGTATTGCCACTGCCTGGCTTTAGACATGTAGATGCACAAATCAGGTGGTGAGTCTCTTTACATGGTGAACACTACTTCTGCTGTGGTTCTTTCTAAAGCACCAGTCCATCTCCACTGACATTACATGCTGTCTTGCTTATTTGTTTAAGCCCCTAAGGCATCAGGCCTGAATACCCCCAGCCCTGTCATTTTAACAGCATTCCCACCCATGAGCTCTGCAAAGGCAGTGGGAGGTGTCAGGGGTGACAGGGAGGGTGGTGTTGCCCCACTGAAGGAGGAACCTATTGGAAATACAGGGAAAAATAGACAAGAGAGGGAACACACAGAAAATAGGAGGCCTCATTTAAACTCAGTGACATCAGTGAAAATCATCTTGGCAAATTCTTCAGCAGAAGTTGGCCTTTTAATAGATCCAAGTTGTTTGAAGCAGCATTCATATTGTAAAATTGGGAATGTAAGAAAATACGTCGAGATCATATTTTACAATATTTTTCAGACAAATTAGCAGGTCTGCTGGAGATTAGAGCTCCATGAGCACTCTGTAATGCTGTGCCACTGGTCAGCACTGGTCAGCACTGGTCAGCATTACGTAGCCGAGGCAGCAGAGCTGATCTGTCAGAAACACAGTTCTGAATATCCCCCATGTGCAAGGAAATGTTGTTACATTGCACTGGTGGGTTAACACCTCCAAGACCAGGACATCAGAAGGCACTTTGAATGAGCAAGGCACCCAGTTATGTCCCTGGTTCAGCAGGGTCCACAGGCATGTGCCCTGCTCAGTGCAATTTAAGCATGCTCTTGGAGACTTTGCCCAGCTGGGGCCTAGAACACCAGCTACTCTCAAATCCTTTCAAAAAGACCCTTCTCTTTCTGCCTGCAGAGATGCCAAGGAGCAGAAGTAGAACCTAGACTTAATGTCACAGAAATGGACAGTACTCTGTGCACTTCAACATGCAGAGAAAAAAATAAAGCTAGTTTTTAATCTGTGATTTGTGGCTTGAGGTCGATTAGACAATTTTAGGTTTAAATAAAATTACTAATTTGGGAACAGTCTATACATTTCTACAGAATAAATCTCATCAGAAAGTATTTTTAAAATGTGACTTACACATTTCAGATGTCATGGAAACCGAAAGGAAGGTAGATAAGAAGATCAAATGTACATACCCCATCATATTTCTAGACGAAAAAGAAAAAACATTGATATCTCAGAATACACTCTGACTGGATCAGTTATGCTATTACCATGGTACTGATGTACATCTGCTAACAGATAACAGCATCATGCAGTGATAAGCTGCACCACGTGAACTGCTCTGTACAGCCACTGTCTATGTAGCACTGTTTTTGCAGCTTTGAGATGATGCTCTTCATTCTATAATTACTCTGCCATGGTGGGCCTCAGGCAGAAACCTCTTTTTGCTTAGTTGCCTTTTTTTTTTTAAAAGAAGCTAAATGTCTGTTATAATTTTCTTCATAGTCAAGTGCAGAAAAATTATAGTTCAATATAGGAAAGGATACATCCTGAATTTGAAAATATATACCCTGGCTTTGAACTAATTTTACAGCAAATCAACTTCTTAGGTGCACAACATCTTTTTTTCTTTCTATGGAAGTTGAGGTATCTTCAGTGGGGGCTTCTCTAGGTAAGTAGCCATAAGAACAAAACCAGGTGAATGCCACCAGCGCTGCTAACCTGAAGGGGAAATGAAGAAATGGACTGGGAAGGTAGGCAGAAGAACATACATTGTACTCATGGAACAGCAGTAAGCCAGATCCCATGCCTCACTGATGTCTTCATTAGTGTTTAAATTGATATGCACCCACTACACACCTCGAGCTGTGGCTCAGGCACTTCAGAGCAAACCCCTTTATTAAAGAAACTGGCTATTCATCCATGGACATTCAATTGGCCTAGTCTAGGAATACCTCAGGAGATACCAGACATGTAATCCAGTTAAACTACGCACCTATAAGAGTTCTACTTACTATTAATAAATCCTTGGTTTAATTGCTGTCCTTCACTGCAGATCACAGAGTGGCGAGTTCTACTGTTGTGTATGAGGAAGAAGCAATCCCATAGTACTACAGAGGGCAGATAAATTTTCAAGAGAAATCAAGTTAGAAATTAATTATAATCTATCTTGCAGATAGTGAGCACAAGAAAAATAGGCAAGAAATGTACAGGCAGAGCAGATAGTGAGCACAAGAAAAATAGGCAAGAAATGTACAGGCAGAGTAAGTACTGTAGTCACACTTACTGCAAGGAATTTTTATTTCAATGCCAAATATTTCCAGACTAAACAAAATTTGACAGACCTTATCAAGACCTATATTTTTGCCAAGTCTGAAATTCAGAAAAAAAACTTGATGTTGAGCTTTCAGGAATGTCATTGGCTTTGTACTGATATGGAAATTTTCTTCTTTTAGAAGAACATCCAGAAGCTTATTCTTAAACTCTTAAAAATAGCAAAACTTAGTGTAGAAAAGCATGAGAACTTCAGTGTAGGTATTTTCCAGGAATATGCACAAGTCATGGAAAATATGAGGTTTAGACCAAAAAAGCAGCATCCCAGCATTATGGTCACAGCAAGGCTGATGCTTTACAGGAGTGACATGTCAGGAGCTCCTAGAAGCAGTGTGTGTGAGGAGCTGCTGGCCTTCCTTAGAGCTGGAGAAAAGCACCACATACAAGCACATGCAGCCTATTGACTTCTTCCATTTTAAGAAAATCTTAGGCCAGGTTAGTAGGTTTTTAGAAGGTACTTTTCAGCAAAACAAACATCAGGAGTTTTTCCCTGGAAGAAATGAACAAGCCGGCCCAGAAGAGGGTTCAGGAGTAACCTGGAACAGGGTAGGCCCTCAATGAAGGAAGATACAGAGCAAAACAGAACACAACAAAATTCACAGCATCAATGCAGCAAAGCATTTGTGTTTGTGCATGCTGTAGAACAGGCTTGTTCCTAGAACTTATTTCTGACACTCCCAGGGAGCAAACCAGATTGTCAGGGGGGAATGGTGAGCTGAGTTTCACCATGAGAGTGGTGAGACCCTGGAATGGGTTGCCCAAGGAGGTGGTTGAGGCCCCATCCCTGGGGGTCTTTAAGGCCAGGCTGGAGGAGGCTCTGGGCAGCCTGATCTAGTGGGAGGTGTCCCTGCTCATGGCAGAGGGGTTGGAACTGGGGGATCCTTGTGGTCCCTTCCAACCCTGACAGATTCTGATCTGTTTTAGCAGAGGACTTTAGAGCCCTAATGGCTCAGTGATTGGACTTGATGATCTTGGAGGTCCCTTCCAACCTAAAGGATTCTATTATTCTATGATATCCCAGTTATTAGAGGCTTGGATCCAATCCAGGATCTAAACAGATTTGCATTTGCCAGCAACTCTCTTGACTTCATTCACCAGCTAAGGTCTGCTTAGATCACAGTTGAAGAATAATATGGGGACTCATGGCTCCATATTCTCCTGTGAAAGAAAAGAGAGGTGCAAATGCCCTGCACACATTTGGAAATCAGCTCACTGTTCATCTCATACAGGCAACATGTGATAGATATGTGGTTTCTCAATCTCCTGAACAGCTCAACAGAACAAGTGATGAAATTTTCTCTGGCATACTGGAATGAGCACCTCATTTCCACAATCCATGAGTTATCTACCCTATCCATTTCTGTCTCTCTGGGTAAAACTGAAACACCACCATTTAGCTCAAATCTTTCTGAGAACTGGTTCACCCTACTTGGTTTCACTGACCTTTGTCATGATACAGATCTGCTCTAAAACACCACTTCATTCTCTGCACTAATTTCCATTCTAGTTAACTGTCTTTCACTACCTGTTACTGTACCTAATCTCGTTGGTTCAAACCAACTTTGATTAGTAACATAGGTCTTACTTGTTTTTTCTCACATAAATGACTTTTTTCACTCGCAGTTCACAGGAAAGAGCCTTTATTGCAAATTATTTGGAATGATCAATCTCCATATCCTTATAACTTTGAGACTGAGCATTGGCGTATGCAGAGAAGACCTTTTCTTCCTAAAGGATTCTGCTGTCCAGCCAGGTGGCCAGTTTTGTATGTAAAACCTTAATCCCCAATGATCCAGTATCAAAGGAAGATGAAAGAACTGGGAACCTCCTACTTATGTTCCAAAAACAGAAGTCTATAGAGCTCAACTCCTCACTTCTTCAAAAACAACCCTGTTAGTAACATGATTTTTTTTCCCCAAAAATTGTATTTGCCAACAAATTGTTTATATAAGTGAACAAACATTGTAAAAGTACCATACCTTGCATACTAACAGAACTTGGAAAAGTTATTGCAATTTCTACTTTAAAAAGCTTAACAGACTTTACAATGTAAACATACCACAAAACAGCAGTTGTGTGAAATTGTTACTGAGACACAGAATTCAGTAATTCACATTTTGAAAGCTATTTTCATTCTATTATCAAATGTAAAAACTCATTCTGACTGAAAACGGGCTATTAAAAGAGCAGCAACAACACTGAACTTATTCCAGAACTAGCAGTCACAATAATTAACACCTACACTAGTTACAGCTGTAAGTGTAAAATTTAGGAATTTCAATATTAAAGTATGGAAATGTTAAAAGTGATACAGACATTATTCTTACAAAACATGTTGAAGCAAGAAAGTATATAAATATACTAAGCTCTGAAAAACCCATGGCACAGTAAATATTTTCTGTTTCTTTGAATAACTAGTAAAAACATCTGTCAGAAAACTAAGGGCAAATGCATTTCTAAATAACTTCATTGTAAGGTCAATCTTTATGTTGATCCCAAAATAATTTGTCCATCACATACACATATCTACTATTTTAATCTGTTTTTTTTTAAATGAGATAAAGAAACACGCAAGTAAACTGAAACAAACTTTTTTTATAAAATGCTTCTGTTCTTTTTGATTAAATGATAATATAAACATTTGACTTACCGTCTGGAAAATTCAGAAAGCAGAGAAGTGGCTTGCTCCCTGTGGCTGGATCCCTGACACTGATGTCTGTGCTGCAGCAGTGTACTAGATATTACTGGGAACTCTTTTTATCTGGCTTGTGCAATAAACGTCTCCAGGAGCAAGATACACAGCTCCATTCTGAGACCCCTCCCACTGACCAGAGCAGAATGTGGAAATTACTGTAGTAACCTCAAGTACCTATCGGGGTGAAATCTCATCGTTCCATTTAGTCAGTTATCTTTTGCCAAGAGCAGAAGTTTTCCGTTAATCACAAGTTATTCCATTTTAGCATGACTATGCTGCAATAAATCTGCTGCCCGGTAAGTGGCTCGCTGAGGTGTCTGGGGAGGACAAAGGAGGGACACTGAACCAGCAGAGGGTGCTTTGAAATGGATTTTGTTTAAAACCAACTGACAGCTTTCCCTGCTCTAGGCAGGCAGGAGCTCCTGGAGAACAGCTCTCAAAGTTCCCCCAGCACCAGGAACAGTTTTTAGGGAAGGCAACTGCTTCACTGAAGCTAAGCTGATAAAAGAAGGCTGCCTGCTGAGAAACCAGTTGTCTGCATCATCAGCTAAGTTAAATTTGAGGGAAAGAAGGTGGAGGGGCAGAGCAGTTCCACAGGAAATCAAGAAGCAGATCTGAGAGAGTGAAAGGGAGAGAAAGAAGTCACCCCAGCAGTGAACATGTCCCAGTGTACAGTGTCTGATGAGCAGGAGACCATATGGGCCACCAAATGTCAGAAAGACACTTTTAGGGAGCGCTGTTCAAGAGTGCTGAGCAGAATTCCAAGCATTAGCACTAAACTGGGACCCATCAGATCAATAGTCCTAATCTATGCCCTCTTTTCCAGCAGCCAGTCTAAAGGGACAATTTCTGTAGCAAATCACCCAAATTCCAGGGAACAAGTTAGCTTGTACATCTTAGCAGAATAACCCCTAAAGGCATTTTGAGAATCAGCTCTTCATTTTTCCTTTAACCAAACAAGAGGATTTTATATTATGGTCATTCAAACTCTTACTTTCCCTGGAAGATGTATGAATACCATTTATCACTTCCAATGTTCTGGGGACTTGGCTGTCTGCATGCAGCAACTCCACATCAATATACAAAGATGCAACACTGAAACATAGTTCTTACTGAAGTCACCACCATGCTTTCCCTAGTTCTTGCTACAGAATTTCCTTTGAAATGGTTTG